CCCCGGTTCCACCAAAAAAAAAAAAAAAAAAAAAATGAGTTGGGAGTTCCTGTTGCCTCTGAATTTTTTAAATGAGCAGGGCTACTTGAAGTTACGAGACCATGAGTTGGGAAAGGCGAGGAGAGTTGAAGTTTTAAACATGTAGAACAGCCCTGCTAGCAGTCTCTGAACTCAGAACCAATAGGACCTCTACCCTAACACATGTAAAGGTTTTCTGTCAAGTCAGTGCTTTAGCACCCTGGAAAGAAGGGAGAAGGTCACCTATCTTCCCAGTTGATTGTAGCACTTTTTAAGTACTCTTAGTTACTTGGTGTCCTTCACTTACGGCTACCTTGGAGCGTTTTCCCAGGTCACACTGGGCTGCTAGTCTTTGGATCATAGCAAGCATGATTATTAAATAAGGTTCAGATTTTTATTGTGAAACTAACCTTGTCAACTTTAAAAATCAAGCTAATTATTTTCAGATAAAAAGAACTTTTAAAAATTTTTCTATTAAGTTGTAAGTTTTAAAGTGTCCTAAGGGAAAAGTAAGACTGACTCCAGATCCCACACAGAAATGAGAATTTGGCTACTTCTGTCTCTCGTAGTTACGAAGCAACATCCCCTGTCACCTGGTTGATATCTCTTGCGGATTACCCTGCAGTGCCATGCTACCATGTGGAATGCACAAGTGTCAGAGACTCTGCCACAAAGGAGAATGCCTTGTGGATGAGCCCTGCAAGCAGCCCTGCACCGCCCCCAGAGCTGACTGTGGCCACCCATGTATGGCACCTTGCCACCCCAGTTCACCCTGCCCAGTGACTGCTTGCAAAGCCAAGGTGGGTATTCTAGACTCCTGCTAGAGCATCGATCATGCTGGAACTGCTAGTGAATCCAGGACTGACTGCAGCAGAGCCTGGGCAAGTATCTTATTACTTGAGAGAAACTGCAGTTTTAAGTTAGCAAGAGAAAGGTAATATAAATCAGTGCTTTTATTTCAGCAGCACCTATTGCTGCATGACCAATTTATCTCTCTTTGAGCACATTCTCAAGAAACTCTTGATTGTCTACTCCATTACTCAGCATGTGTGTATGTGTGTGTGTGTATGTAATCTGTTTGGGGCAGGATATTGTGTGAGATTCTGAGGCAGGACTGGTGAACAAGTGAAACATAGTCTCTTATAATTTGTTGGAATTCACAAAATACTTTCTCAAAATGATAATTTTGACTGTGGCAACACAGAAGTGTAGTTCTGTCCTTCTAGAAGATGCCATAAGAACATGTAAATGGTCTGGGGAATCTGCCAAGGGCACTCAGAGGAGGTGAAGTAGGGAGATCCTGTGAGTTTGCCTAGGCCTCATTTGGTTGGACTGAGCAAGTGTCTGCTTCTGATTCAGTGGTATAAATTTCATCGTACATTCTCTTTCAGCCCAAATTAACAACAGTAGTAGTTTCTAGAAAAGGGCATTCTGAACTGTACATGTTCTTCCTAGTTGCACATTACCTAATGTTGTGAATTTGTGTGTGTGGCTAGCTTTTTTCTTTTTTTTTTTTTTCCTCACTATGTAGATCGGACTCCTAGTGATCCACCTGTGTTCAGCCTCCCAAGAGGCTGCCAATGCCCAGTCTCTTGTTTAGTCTTTAAGAGTGGCGCTCTCTGGCTCTTTTCTGCCCTGCCCTAATTTGATTGGAGAAAGGCTTGATGTGTTTCATCTTGTTTTGTTTGAGACCGGGTCTTGCTTCAAACTTGAGGTGATCTGCCTGCTTCAGCCCCTGGAGTGCTGGAATTACAGGCATGAGCCACCAGACCTTGCAGAGGAAAGTTTTTTAAATTGAAACTTGCTCACTCACATGGTTCTCATTTGTTCAAAGTGTTCTGTGTTAATCTTGTCTCAGGTAGAACTACAGTGTGAATGTGGGCGAAGAAAAGAAATGGTGATTTGCACTGAAGCATCCAGTACTTATCAGAGGTTAGTGCTGCAGAAATGGTTGGATCTAGGTGAAGGGGACTCACATTTATTGGAAAGTTCTTGCATCTTTTCTCAATGTTGAAAGGTTTTTTACTTTATGTTTTTAAATCTATATTCTCTGATTCAAAGAAAAAGTGTTGTCTTATGTTCCTTTTCTTCTGACTCATAATTTGAAAGGGAACTTTTTCATTTTTTCTTGGCATCTCTGTCGTTTCTCCCCTTTTGGTCTTATTATACCATGAGATGAAAAGGAAAAATATCCTGATGTGAAACGAGTTGCTTTGATATCCTACCACTTCTAGAGGCTTGGCGAAGGCCAAGTTCTGTGCCACCACCCCAGAATGGGGTTTCTCATTGTTCTGGGAGGCATCTGTGCAACTGTTTAGTGTCTTAGAGCCCATGTGGTCCTACAGGATCCGAGCACTCAGCAGTGAGGTGTGAGGGAGTGACTGCCTACGTATCTCTGAGCAGGTTTGAAGTGTACGTGAGCACACAGACCTCATATTGCCTGTGTTGAAGACCTCCTGAGTGCTGGGCATTGGTGTGTGTGCCAGAGGGGCTAAGGAGGAGTTGGGTTACCTCATGATTTCCTCCATAGCTGCTTAGAATCTAAGTATTTGTAGCCATGTGATAGGCACCCAAGACCACACCAACTGTCTTGTAATGGCTTGGTTTTAAAAATGGTCTTCTGTATCCTTAATGTGGAGAGGTTCTTTTGAAATGGCAACACTTCTCTTTTCTGTATTTCAGAATAGCAGCTATTTCTATGGCCTCTAAAATAACAGACATGCAGCTTGGCGATTCAGTGGAGATCAGCAAGTTAATTACCAAAAAAGAAGTTCAGCAAGCCAGGTGATTTTTAAAATATTTACAGATGCCTTGTTTCTTCTAGTTCCTAGAAGGCAGGGTTCATTCATTTGTCTCAGTCCCCCACAGTACAGCCTGACACAGTAGATACTCAGCAGTCTTCAACATTGAGACCATACCCACCCCAGCCCAGCAAATCCTGCTCAGGATGTAACTAAGAGCAAAAGAGGTTTTCCAAGCCTTATTTGAGACAGGTGATAGGGATAAGAGAAACCTAGATGTGCGCAATCCAGCCCACAGAAGAACAGAAAGCCATAGTAGTACCTGTATCTAGAGGGGCGGGGGCTGTCCCTTGTACCTGACAGCAGTGTGTACTAATAAAACCCAAAAATAGGTTGGCCTAATAAGCTGCTTCCTGCCTTGGAGGGTAGTCCTTTCGCAGGAGTCAGCTGTGTTTTCAGATTGCCCACCTAAGGCTGTCTTGCTAGATAAGAGCCGTTCAGCCTGTTCCCTGACTATTTTTTTATTTGCTTGTCAAGGTTGGAGTGTGATGAAGAGTGTTCAGCGTTGGAAAGGAAAAGGTAAGTGGTTTCAACTGCTTGTTATCTGCTTGTCCTTGAGCCCTGTGTTATTAGTGAGAGGGGGCACCCCTATCTACTCTCAGCACCTGCTCTGAGGCTTATTGCTATCGAGCAACAAGAGAAATGTGATCAGCAAGCCCTGAATTGTGTAAGGATAAATCACTCAGGTCATTTCTGCATATTTCAGAAACATGAGTTGTGTGGTTTTGGGTGTGAGGTAGACATGCCACAACATACTTCTTTACTCACTGGCCAGCTTCCTGATACCAGTAAATAAGAGGCTTTAAAAAATGTTTAATTTTTTTTCTAATTGAAGTATAACGTAAGCGTATGGGTCAGGAAATCATCAAATGGCTACAGTGTTGTAACCAGCACCCAATTCAAGAAATAGAAAATTATCAGAACCCTGTCTTGTATTCCGAGAATGCTACCTCTTCTGCCTTCTGCCTTTGGACACTTTATATTAGTTTTGTCTCTTTATGAATGCTTACGTATTAGATGGTAAAGTCATATATGGTAAAGTCATATACTTTGTGTTACTTTTGTCTGATTTATTGTATTTATGACACTCATTCTTGTTGTATTGGCAGTACTTTATTTTATTTTTTGATGATATTGTATTAATGTATTAATGTATCATAATTTAGCCATTCTGCCATTTATGGATATGTGTATTGTTAGCGGTATTGAGCTGTACAAACAATACTGTTAAGAATTTCTTTTTTCTTCAGTACTGGGGACTGAACTCATATTTGCTAGGCAAACATTCTATCCCTAAACTACATCCCCACCCTCTAAGAACATTTGTGTTCTTTATTATATATACATATTCATATGTATGTATATAATTTTAGGACTAGAGTTGCTGATTAATAAGATATGCTTATGTTCAACTTTATTTTTTATTTTTATTCATTTATTTGTTTATTTATGGCAGAACCAGGGATTGAACTCAGGCCCTTGTGCTTGCCAGGCAAGCGCTTATTCTACTGAGCCATCTCCCCGGCCCCATTTATTTATTTTTTGATACAGGGTCTTGCTACACAGTTCAGAATTGCAGTGATCCTCCTGTCTCAGCTTTCCTAGTGCTGGGAGCCACCACTTCTGGGACCAGCATGGCATGTATTACCAGAGATCAAAATCAGATCCTTACACTTGCCAGGCCATTATATTCAACTTTGGTAGATTCTGCCAGTCCAAATTGGTTGTTTGAAATTACATTTCTTGCCCCATTTGGTACAACATGCCTATAATCCTAGCACTTTTGAAGCCTGAGGCAGGAGGATCACAAGTTCAAACCTAGCCTGAGCAACTTAATGACTTAGCAAGAACTTATCTCAAAAAAAAGGTAAGTCCCAGTACTCAGGAGGCTGAGGCAGAAGGATAACCATGAGTTCAAGACCACCCTGGGGGGGCCTGGCCGTAGCTCAGTCCTTTAAGTGGCTGCTTCCACAAAGCTGTCAGCCTCAGGTTGCTGGAGTTCGAACCTCACAACTCTCCCGCTGGCCAAAAGCGCCCTGAAGGCATTCGAGGAACAAAAAAAAAAAAAAAAAAGGGCTGGTGAGATGGCTCAGTGGTCTAAGGCACCTACTTAGAACAAGCTTAGCAAAACACAGAGACCGCGGTTCAATCCCCCAGCACCACATGCCAGCCAGCCGCGCCCCCTGGTGGGCTGAGCTGGCCACACACACACACACACACACACACACACACACACACAGAATAAATAAATAAATAAATAAATAAATACCACCCTGGGCTACATAGTGAGTTCATGCCAACCTGAACTACAAAGCAAAATCCTGTCTGAAAAATAGAGGGGTGGGGGGAAGGAGGGAGAGAGAGAGAATAAGTCAGGGCTGGGGATGTAACTCAGTGCAAATTCCCTGGGTTTTAAATTGTAGTGAAGAAATAACAGTAATAATAACAATAACAATAGCTTATGTTCTCATAGGAGCAGGGTGGTAATTCCCATTGCTACTACACCTTTGTGGCAGTACTTGGGACTGTCAGTCTTTTTCATTGTAACCATTCTTAGGATGTATAGAAGGATGCATAGCCTTGTCTTACTTTGAAGTTTGATTTTAGGTAATTATGACAGGGCATTTTATTTGTGTTTAGTGCCAGTGATCAAACCTAGGGCTGTGCACACAAGCTCTGTGCCACTGAGCTACACCTTCAACAACAGTAATTCTTTGAAGTGTGAATGTGTGGAAAGTATCGGGCTGCCCAGTCATGTAGCCTGGATTTCCCTTGGCTTGACTCTAGTGACATTTCTCTGGGGAGTGCTGTTTAAACCCACATCCCTTTAAGAACCAGCAATTAGTGTTCCCAGTTCTAAACTCTGTGCTGTTTGAGTCTTAGTTATTAAGAAATACAATAAATATACAAAAAAAAAGAAAATAAATAAATAAACAGAAGACCTCTAAAATGGGAAATCTGCCTTGTGTAGTACTGCCTGGATTTGAACCTTATCTTCATAAACCATGTAACTATGTAGCTTTGAGCAAGTTACATATTCTAAGATTTAATTTTCTTAAAAATTTATGAAAATGCTGACAATATCAACTTCCCAGAGTTGTGAGGATAAATACACTAAAACTAGGGCCAGCGAGATAGCTCAGCAGACTAAGCATCCGCTTTGGCAAGCACAGGGATCAGGGTTTAATACCTGGTGCAGCATGCTACACCAGCCCCGTCTCTGGGGTGCACTGAGCTAGTCACCAAGTCCGGGCATGGTGGCACATGCCTGTAATCTCAGCGCTGGGGAGGCTGAAAACAGGAGGATCACTGCGAGTCTGAGCTGCATGGTGAGACCCTGTACCAAATACATAAATGAAGAAAAAAAAAAATTAAATCTAAAGGTATTTACAGATAGGCCCTTAACTCAAGCCTGACATATGGTAAATATCCAGTAAATGCTGGTTATTGACTAGAACTGACAATTCCCCCCACCAACCCAGTGGAACCAGGGACTGAACTCAAACCCTTGAGCTTGCCAGGGAAGCACTTATTCCACTGAGCCATCTTCCCAGCCCCTTGAACTGGCAATTTTTGAAAGGCTTTTGATTTTCTCCTCACTGTTTATGATGTAATGATCTTCACTATATAAAAATTATTTCTAAATACATTGACTCAACAGGAGAAAACAATAAAAGTTTGAAAAAGAAAACTCCATCTTAAGTTACATATATGTATATTTTCATTGCAGAAGCAAAAACTAATAGGCTAAATTCAGCATATGTATTTTTCATTGATATTTAAAGTGGAATTGGGGGCCGGGGAGATGGCTCAGTAGAATAAGCGCAAGGGCCTGAGTTCAATCCCTGGTTCCGCCATAAGAAAGAGAGAAAGGAAGGAAGGAAGGAAGGAAGGAAGGAAGGAAGGAAGGAAGGAAGGAAGGAAGGAAGGAGGAATTGGTGGGGTTGGGGAGATAGCTCAGTGGAACAAGTGCTTGCCTGGCAAGCACAAGGTCCTGAGTGTGATCCCTGGTACCACAAAAAGTAAAAAATAAAATAAAATTGAATTGGTGACCAGCTAATAAAAAACATCAAGAGATCTCCCTCTAAGAATTTTATTGAAAATTCTAAAAACTTGAAAATTTAAAAATCAAAGCCAGGCAGCATGACACATGTCCTTAATGCCAACTACAGAGGAGGCTGAAGCAAGGGAATCACTTGAGCTCACAAGTTTAAGACCAGCCTGGATAACATAGCAGGACTCTATCTCCAAAATGAAATAAAATAACAAAAATGTGCTCACCGGGGAGATAGCTCAGTGTTATAACCACCTGCCTCCCAAGCACAGGGTCCTGACTTTGATCCCTGGTAAAAAATAAATAAAAATAAAATAGCAGTGCTTGTTTGTCACAAAGATCTTCCCTTTTTTTTCTTTCTTTCTTTCTTTCTTTCTTTCTTTCTTTCTTTCTTTTTTTTTTTTTTAAATGTATTTGGTACAGAGTCTTACTACACAGCTTGGACTTGTAGTGATCCTCCTGTGCTGGGATTACAGGCATGGGCCACCATGCTCAGGGTCCCCAGGGGCAGGCCAGCAAGGCATGTGGTGCTGGGGATCAAACCCCTAAGCAGGTGCTTAGTCCATTGAGCTATCTCACCAGCCCTCCCTTGTTTTCTAAATTTGTACTTTTTGAGTTTGGGGATATAGCTCAGCAGCATAAGTGCCTGCCTGCTAAGCAGAAGGTCCCAAGTTGGATCTCTAGTACCAAAAATAAATAAATGTGTACTGTTTTATCAATTTTTGTTTCTGGTATTAGGTGTCATACCCAGGGTCTTGTCCACTAGTGTATAAACTATACCACTGAGTTATAATATACATTCCTAGACTATATACCTTATTCCTTTTTTTTTTTTTTGGAGACAGGGTCTCATTATGTAGTGCAGGCTGGCCTTGAACTCACTGTGTAACACAAGCTGACCCTAAACTCATAGTGGTCCTCCTGCCTCAGCATGCTGGAGTTACAGGCATGCTCCACCACACCTAGCCTGTTCCTTATTCTTAAATTAAGCCTCAGAGAAGGTCATCCCCCTGTTAACCAATCCCAGTGATCTCTCACATCCCTGAATAACCCAATTCTCCAGAATTCATCTTGCTCTGATCTGTATAAATCTATTTTGCTTTTCATCTTTGAAAACTCTACCTCATTTTCTTCTGACATGTTATTACCCTTTCCCTAGTAAAGTGGTTTGCTGATGAGATAATTAGAGTATAAGGAATTACAACCCAGTAGTCTATGTATGTTACTGCAGTACTTCCTGCCTCATCCGCAATTTGGTTTCCATCATTTCTGTTGCCTTCACTCAATTATGGTTTGAAAATATTAAAAGGAAGTTCCACAAATTCACAAATCTTAAATTGTACATTGTTCTGAGCAGCATGATAAAATCACTCCATCCCTCACAGGACATGATTCATTCCTTTGTCCATGCTAAACATACTAGTCACCTGTTGTCACTTAGTATCAAATCCGCTGTTGCAGGATCAGAGCCTGTGCTTGAGCAACCCTTAGCTTACTTAATAATGACCCTATTGTGCAAGAAGAGTGATGCTGACAATTTGGATGTGCCAGAGAGAAACATTACAGAACTTTCTATTAAGTAAAAGGTTAAAAGTTCTCAATAAGAAAAAGCATATACTGAGTTTGCTAAGATCTATGCTAAGTTATTACTGTTAACTTTTATTGTACCTAATGCATGTTGAACTTTATCATAAGTATGTATTGAAAAAGCTCTCCACGGTTTCAGGCATCCATGGGGTTGGGGGGGTCTTAGGATATGCCTCCTGAAGATAAGGGAGGACCTCTGTGTAAGAGAAATTCCCTCCCCCTCCTTCCCTTACCTGTGCATACTTCTGTCTTACTTTCAGGAGGTTGGCAGAGGCATTTGATATCAGTGATGATTCTGATCCTTTCAATATCCGTTCATCTGGGTCAAAATTCAGTGACAGTTTGAAAGATGATGCCAGGTATGTAACTTACCTACTTTCTTAGTTATGGCTTATGAGAGAGGCTAGTATTTCAAGATGTAGTAACCAATATGTACTCCTTCTGGGATTAAGCCAAGTTAAATCAATTTATCTATTGTATAAGATTATGTGATTGTTTAGGGATCTTTCCTTAGTTTTCTCAGAATCCCCCTAAAGGAACCGACCTTTGAGTGGAGGAGGTAGCCCCGGTGGTTGAGCTCCGGCTTGCCAAGAACTGGACTTGAAGGGTCTCTGGGCCACATTACATCTCTAAACTAAGTCCTGTGGCCTGCTTAACAGCTCTTATTTGCCTCCTGTTTCCTGACCTTCTGATCATTGTTTTTCCTTTCATCTTTTCTTATATCAGGTTTTTTTGGGTTTTGTTTGTTTGTTTTTTGCTTTTATGATGTTTGGTTATCTGACTATTCCTGACCTCCGCAGTTTTTTTGCCTCTGCACTTTACAAGCAGACATAGGTAGGTAGGGCTTCCTAGATGTGGGGGAAGTAGATGAATTAACTAATGGTTTCTCGTTTCAGGAAGGACTTAAAGTTTGTCAGTGACATTGAGAAGGAAATGGAAACCCTTGTGGAGGCTGTGAATAAGGTTGAAGTGAACATTCCTCTAAGGCCACTTTTATAAAAACCAGATCCAAAAACACTTTCAGCCTAGAGTAGTTGTATAAAGCAGTCACAACTTCTTTAAAGCTCTTTCCTAGAAGCTCAACCATTATAGCATTCATGGAAACCTGTCCTGCTTCAGTCATTGCAGAGAAGACATCTGCAAACAAATTAAATGTAAATAAAAATCCTAGCTCAGTGCCTAAAAACAACTCTAGACAAGAAGCATTCACTAGTGATAGATGAATGACTGAGTGGATTGCTCACAAGACCTACAAAGATCTCCAAAGAACTGCATATGATAGAAGAACACTCCTGCTTTATTACCCAGACTTTAGGGAAAAATAAAAATTGTATATCTAGAGCTGAAGTGAACCAGAGAATAAACTTCTCAAGAGAGTAAGGTTCCCTAGCCAATGATGGTGGTCTACCTTCCACTGCGTACCTCTTCTCTGCCCATTCCCTTCCCTTCTCTATCACTACCTATGAAGGAGGAAGTGGAATGCATGGTTCCTCTCACAGCGAGGAAGCCAGAACAAATGTATTTCTCAATCTGTGTGTCTGTGTCTGCACACTTAACATTTTCAATATAGACCAAACTTTTGTCAAAGTGTGATTTTTCTTGCGTTGTAAGACTTCAGTTTATTTAGTCCTTTCTTGAGATGGTCACTCCCCAGTTACAGGGCCCCTCAGGTGGAACCATTACTGTCTGCCAGAGTCTCAGTTCTTACTCTTTGTCCCTAATCCTGCCCATCTCATAGCAGCCCCCATCTTCCCAAAGCCCTCCAGACTTTTGTGACAGTTAGTGACATTCTGTACACTATGAAGCTATGAAATTCACTCACCTCTAGTTGGCCAAGCTATTCTTGTGGTGGGAAGGACAGTTGTAAGTTTTCTGTGTCTGCAGTTACCATTTCCTTCAATACAGGGAAAGAACAGTAAGAAAAGCCACAGCTTCCCTCCCATGAACAGAGACCACCGCCGAATCATCCATGACCTGGCCCAAGTTTACGGCCTGGAAAGTGTGAGCTATGACAGTGAACCAAAGCGCAACGTCGTGGTCACTGCAGTGAGGTGGGTTGATCTTGCTAAGAGGAGTCTTAGAAGGATCTATCTGTTTGCTTTCCTTACTTTTCTCCTGGCAGAGTAGAAGGGCAGTTGGCCTCTCTTGGATAGCCATTTCATGATGATTGAGAGAGCTGGCCAGAGTGAAGCTCATCCCTCATTACATAGGGCAAATTCACACAGAGGGTACAGGCTTCCCATCTGCCCTGACCCATGGCAAGGGCTGGAGACAGCGTTTAACAGATAGAAGGATCCAACCTGGAGCCAGAGCAGGATGCCTGCTCATCCCACCCCACCCCATTCTCCTCTGTCTTCTCTGATGTCCCTGACTTTGTCCTCCTGGCCCAATGGAAACAGAAAGAACACTAATAGTCCCTGTGAACACTATGTTCCCATCAGAAGAAACTGAGGCAGTAATATGAGCCCAAAGCGGACAGGGAGTACCTAGACTCAACTTCAGAATCAGAGGGATTGAGAACAGCTTCCCAGTGAAGTAAAGTGCCCTGGGACATGGAGGGACATGGGCAACAGGCCAGCAGAGTAGGAGGAAGAGGGGCTTGAACTCAGATGGCCATGCCTGAGAGGAGACAGGTGGCATCAGAGTGCTTAGCACCACAGTGCCAAAGTCACCACTGAGTTTCTGGCCATCTGCCTGTGTACAAACAGTTTTCACCTTTCAGTACTTTGTGTTCTCGCTCCTACCAGAGGGAAGTCCATTTGTCCTCCCACAACGCTGACAGCTGTGCTTGAAAGGGAAATGCAGACTCGGCCTCCACCACCAATTCCTCACCACCGACAGCAGACAGACAAGTAAGGTTCTTCAATTGCTTTCCAAAGAGTCTGATTAGAAGGGCTGGAGAGATGGCTCAGTGGAATAAGCACTTCCCTGACAAGTGCAAGGGCCCGAGTTCAATCCCCGGTTCCACCAAAAAAAGAACAAAGGGTCTGATTAGAGAAGCTCGCAGGGGCTGAACTGTCCTGGGCTGTATCAGTCACTGGTGGCATATTTGGGGTTGGCCTTAAGTACTGTGTTCAACTAGGTGAGGTTTGGTTGGAGTACCAGATACATTTATTCAAGCCAGGGGATCCGTAAGTTTGATGTTTATAATGCTGATCCCACGCCAGGACCAGATGTTTTCTCACCATCACCCCCCCGCCTTCCTTATCAGGAGAGGAGCCAGCTGCTGTACTGTGACAAAGGCAGTGTGACTAAAAGTTCCTCTGGAAACCAAAGGGCTTCCTGTACATTTCTCACTTTCCACACAGAAGTCCTAGTGATACAGGGGAAATGCTAGATTTCAAATACACTGAGTTCATGGTCCCCCAAAGCAGAAGAGTGAATTCTAAGAAACAATGGAAGTGGGCTGGAGAGATAGCTCAGTGGTCTAAGTGCCTGCCTGGCGAGCACAACGACCCAGGTTTGATCCCCAGTACCATATGCTGTGCTGCCCCGGAATGCACTGTGCCAGCCACCACTCGAGTCTGAGTTGTGTAGCTAGACTCTCTAACAAACAAACAAATACGTGATTTTTAAAAAATAAACAATGGAAGTTAAGAGTAGGAAAATTTACTGAAGGATGGTAATGGGGCAATAGGAATAACTTCTGAGAGACAGAAGGGGTCCCAAATGGGTTGCTAACAAGCCCACCTCTCAAAAGAAGCTTTATAGGGGCTGGAGAGATGGCTCAGTGGTCTAAAGCACCTACTTGGAACAAGCTTGGCAAAGCACAGGGACCGCGGTTCGATCCTCCAGCACCACATGCCAGCCAGCCACGCCCCCTGGTGGGCTGAGCTGGCCACACACACACACACACACACACACACACACACACACACACACACAATAAATAAATGTTAAAAATAAAATAAGCTTTATAGAGCAAAATCATGAGGTGGGTACAGCATGGGTCAAAATTATGATCAGCCAATAAGACTGCAAGCTTAGGTAATATTGATCCAGTGGTAGCAAGGGTACATGAGTGACATTAAAATTGGTCAGTAATCTGTAGTTTTCACCTTTAATCTTAGCAGCCTTAATCTTTGTCCTAGTTTTAGTAGGTATGAGACGATGACCCACCACTAATGGCATGGGAAATCTCAAAAGGGCAATACCACAAATCCCAAGCAACCTTTCATCCTTTAGGGAAGAATGTAAAAGTAGCCACTGTGACTTTAATCTTCAGATGCACCTCAAGCCACAGTCCTGATGGATTCTCATCTTTTTCACTGACTTCCTCGAGAGCCCACTCTGTTTGACTGCCTAGTATATTTCTACCTAACTTAGCTCTCTGTAAGGCTGGCAGTACCTCCTCAGTGTTTCCTACACAAGACCTCTCTGGAAGGGTGATTAGGGCAGTGTACAAGGTCACCATGACAACAGCATTGGCTGAGAGCACTGAATGTCCAGCATCATGGGACCAGCTCCTGTGTACCCCCAGAAGCAGTCAGCTCAGTCTGCATATCCACACAGGCTGTGGTTCTGGAAATGTGAGGAGGGTGCCACTGCTGTACAATTCGCATAGACATAACCTCCTGGAATCACTAGCTTGCTGTACCCTGCTGTCTCTCTCTCAACCTTTGTTTTTTTTTTTTTTTTTTTTTTTTTTGTTTTTTTTTTTTTTTTTTGAGACAGGATCTCACTATGTAGGTCAGACTGGCCTTGAACTCACTATGTAGCCCATACTGGCCTTGAACTCAGGTGATCCTCCTGCCTCAGCCTCCCAAATGCTGGCATTATAGACCTGTTCTACTTTGCTCAGCTTGCCCCACTGTTACCAAAGCTTCACAAATGTTTAATCACCAGTTCATAAACTTTCTGAAAATCTATGTCCATTTTCTCCAAAGAAGAAAACATTGATCATTCTTTCTTTGCTTTTCAGGAATCCTGGGAGCAGTAATTTACAGAAGATAACTAAGGAGCCAATAATTGACTACTTTGATGTCCAGGACTGAGATCAAGATGCACTTAGATAAAAGAATGGTTAGGTGTAGTGGAGAATTATTTGCCAGCAGATAAATCATGCTTTTTCCTCACTGCCTAGCAGAATCATAGCCTCACATGCTGTCTTGTACTGATACATCCAAAGCATGAGTGTGTCAGAAATCCCCTTGTGTATTCCTGTCTGTACAAAGTGTTCCACTGTGGCCCTATCTCCAATTATATGGTCACAAAGTAAAGGCTTCTCATACTATCATTGTGATTGCTTTGACAATTGGGGAAATATCGGACTTTATTTAGAAAACCAGAATTTTAGCCCAAAACTGACTGTGGCACTTATAGTCTCTACTGACTGACACAGGCACATTTCTCAATCTGAAATAACCCTAAATTGATACACGATAGATGGAATCACACACATCATCTTAAATGCAGCCAGCTTGTCTGTCTTTTGCCAAAAGCTCTTAGGTCTGTCTACCTGATAAATTTCTTTGTTTGTTTGTTTGTTTGTTTTTTGTGGTACAAGAGATTGAAAAAAGTATGATGGGGGCCAGGGAGATGGTTCAGTGGAATAAGTGCTTCCCTGGCAAGCACAAGGGCCTGAGTTCAATCCCCGGTTCTGTCACAAAAAAAGAAAAAGAAAAAAGTATAATGAATTTCTTTTCATGCTTCCCAGTGCTGTCAGTGCTAGACATAGGAGAGGGTCAGGTTGCTTTACAGAACTCCATTTCCTCAGGTCTGTGGCACCTGTCTTGACACATCACTGAACCTGGCCAGTGACAATTTAGCCACCACCTCCTATGGTGGTAGAGGATGTAGAGCAAGCTCTCCTGCCAGGTTCATACTCTGGCCTCTGAAATGACCAGCTCCTCTCTAGTTGATAAAGAGTCTTCACATCTTTATCTGTCCTGGGTTGTTTTTTCCTAGGCCCTCAGCAGCCTCTCTGTGTCTTAGAGCTGTGGAGCTCTAGAAGTGTCTAGACATTCAGAGTTTTTCCCTGGTAGCCCACCAGAAGCATTCTTCAGGTTCCTTCAAGCCAAGTCCACCTACAGTTCTGTTATGTTTATTTTTTTTAATATTTATTTATTACATTTATTTATTGTGTGTGTGTGTGTGGCCAGCTCAGCCCACCAGGGGGCGGGGCTGGCTGGCATGTGGTGCTGGAGAATTGAACCGTGGTCCTTGTGCTTTGCCAAGCTTGTTTCAAGTAGGTGCTTTAGACCACTGAGCCATCTCTCCAGCCCCAGTTCTGTTATGTTTATCACTGTTTGTTAGCACCCCACTGACATGGAGGCCAGAATCCCAGCAGCTTCCTTCTACTTCAGAACAAGCCTTGTGCCCCAGAGAAGCATCAGGAGATTTGAGATGTGAAGTCACAAAACCAAGCACTAAGCCTTATAGGAAGAGCTGCTCTTTGGTCCTCATCCAGACAATCTGGTTAGAAAGATGTGAGTGTAGGAGCAGGGCAAGTGGCTGGAGAAAGTAAGAAAGTACCTCTGGGCCACTTAGTGCAGTGTCTGTGGCCCAACAGCACAAAGCCATGAGCATGTGTTCTTTGTGAGGGGTGGGGCTTAAGACAGGTTTCAACCACATCTAGCTCTGCTGCATAATTTCTGCTTGATGGAATGGAAGTTTTATCTACATTATCAGGATAGTGAAAATTAAATAGCAAATGTGGAGTGCCTGATGCATTAGAAGTGTTCACAATTCATGACAATCAAGTTTGGTATGTGGAAAATATATCTGCATCTTCTGTCTGTAGCACTGGCTATGTGGAGGGGTGGAGGGCTGGCTGGGCCTCCCCTGATGAATGTCTGGATGCTTGCCTTGCGGTGGGGCTGCAGAGGTAGGTGTGCTGGGAAAGATTTGTGGGAGTAGAGAGGTGGATGAGTCACACAAGAGAGCCTAGGGGGCTCTGGCAAACCCTAAGCAGAGTGGCCTGGTAGACTTAGCATCTAGAGCAGGAGTCAGCAAGTGTTTTCTATAAGAAGCTAAATATTTTAGACTGAGACTTACAGTTTCTTTTGGAATTAACAAATTCTGACAGTATGGCTATAGGGAGTCACACCTTACTTAAGGGTACCGGAATAAGAATCCCATGTGATTATTGCCTGTTACAAAACACTCTTGACTTTTTTGCCAGCCATTTGAAAACAGAAAAACCATTCTTGGCACACAAGTGTACAAAAACAGCCTTCATTTGGCCATAGACTTTTTTTTTTAGTCCATCCACCCTGTTTTAGAGCAGCCCCTCGGGCAGAAGGGTGAAGGAGGGATTGGAGGCTCGAGCAAAAGGCAAAAGTCCCAACCCAGGGCCTGCAGATGGGATCCAGGAGGAAGAAGGTGAAGGTGGCTGGCAGGAGCTGGCTCTGCAAGGAGGGAAGAAGCTTGGGTCCAGGAAGTAGGAAAGGGTGCCAGGGGTCAGCAGAGAGGCCAGCCTTGCTCAGGTCTCCTCAGCAAGGGGAGAGCTACTTTTCAGGTGTCTAAGATTGTTCCCTAAGCAACTGTATTAGACACAATTTTTACAAGTGTGGATAAGAGAAAGATCCCACCTCCACACTACATGGAACCTACGGGCACCAGAGTTATACATTTGCTCTTGAGAACCAGGTGCAGTTCCAACCCCACACTCAGCAGGAGCTCCTTTATGGCCAGAACTTTCCAGAGTCCAGATTCGTATGTCTGGCATTCCCTCTGGCTTGTCTGGGCTCTGGCCTTGTAGGAGGTACAATATCTGGGCAGACCCAAGTGCTAGGCCACCAGAAGTATCCTTGAGATTCCCTTAAGGCAGGTCCCTTTACAAGTGGTGCTCCTCTCAGCAGGGGCACCTGTCAGACACGCAGTGGGTAGGTGCAGTGCAAGATGAGATGCAAGCAGGCCCTCTGCCCACAGGATCTAGATCTTGTCCTGGCTGGGCCTGAGAACAGAGTGGGTGAGAGGGAATGTCAGGCTTGGAGGTGTCAAGTCTCAGGCTACAGGTCCTATAGTAGAGACATTGCCAGGGCCTCTCCCTGTGATGCTGGTCTTGCTTCACGCTTGAAAGCAAGGAGATGTGGCCTAAGAACCCCCCAGGTGTCTCCTTTTCTAACTTGGGGAAGATACTACCAGGCCAGGCTAGTTCCTGAACCTTCACAGACCTGCCTTCCTCATTGGTCACATATCTACACCCAAGGGAAAGTTCTGTCTCCTGAACCCCAGATTCCTGTACCATCTCCCATAATTTCCCTTGTTTTGTTATTTGTTTTTGAGACATGTCCTTGCTATGTAGTTTAGGCTGGCCTTGAACTTAACTGTAGCCCATACTATCCTCCAATTTGTGCCAATCCTGTCTCTGCCTCCCAAGCACTGGGGTTACAGTCGTGCACCACCACACCTGGTTTCCACCCCCAATCCCCTTTTTAACTTTGTGTTACTGGAGATTGAACCCAGGCACTTTGCTCTGAGCTATATCTTCAGCCTTTTTTTACTTTTATATTTTGAGACAGGGTCTCACCAAGTGTCCAGACTGAGCTCAGACTTGGGATCCTTGTGCTTTAGCCTCCAGAGTGGTGGAATCGTAGGCATGCACCACTGTACCTGGTTCTCATGGCCTTTACAGCTCAAGGATCCTCAGATTCACAGAGCCATTCTGCCCCCTCGGCCTACAAAGGCCGGACCCAGGAGAGAGAAGCTCCCTGGGCTCATGGTCTGTGCCATGAGTACAGACTGGGATTCATATCTATTTCTCTACCTAGGTGCCAGGGCTAAGGCAAAAATGAATGATTCCCTCCTGACTTCCTCAAACCAAGTTCACTTGAGAGTTCTTCCTATGACCCAGGCTGCCCTTGGCCCCAGAAGTGTGGCGACCTGGGCATGAGGAACCCAGCTGCACAGCTAGGATATCTCTTGCTTCAGGTCTTCTGCAATGGCATCAGTCTTCACATCTGTTGGGTAGGGTAATGGAGACCACCCACATGTGTGCCCTGAGCCACCATGAGAGTAGTGGATGGCTGGGGCTGGTGAGATGGCTCAGTGGTCTAAAGCACCTACTTGGAACAAGCTTAGCAAAGCACAGGGACCACGGTTCAATCCCCCAGCACCACATGCCAGCCAGCCCCGCCCCCTGGTGGGCTGAGCTGGCCACACACACACACACACACACACACACACACACACACATAAAATAAAATAAATTAAAAAAAAAAGAGAGAGTAGTGGATGGCCAGTGAGGGACATCAGAGAGGTCAGGGGTCTCACCAGCCTCAGGACATCAGCACAACCAAGCCTCAAGCCTGTGCCCATTCCATCTGGGTAGCTCTTGGGTGTGAGAAACAAAGTATAGTCAAGCTTTCTGCACAAGGGTGTAAACTGGCCATCACCTCCCCTTGTGTTCTGTTCACCCACTCTACAAGGTGTGAGTGAAGAGGTTGGAAATCCTCATCTACACACACTTCCCAACAGTGATAACAGCCATCGAGCATCTAGTATATGCTGAGCATGGTGCTCATCTCTTTTCATTCCTTGGAGAAAAGAGCTAAGTTGTGCTGAGATTAGGCTGGAACTTGTGGTCCTCTTGGCCTCTGGGATCTCTGATTCCTGGCATGTGATCATACCTGGCTGGAAAACAAGATTTCAGAAGTTGGGTCCTTGTCCAAGGTCACTCAGTGAACCACTAGGGATGTGAAGTTCCTACCAAGTCTGTCCCTTCAAGGGCAGAGCAGGGACAGCTGCAGGTCTCTGGGGCAGGGCAGCGCAGTAAGTGAGTTTAACTGAGGGAGAAGCTTCACTGTATCTCCAAACAGGGGCAGGGAATTTAGCTTAGTGGTGCAGCATTTGCCTGGCAAATGTGAGAGCCTAAGTTCAATTCCTGGTATCCCTCAAAAAATAGAGTCCCCAGACTGTATCTCCAAACAGAACACTACAGGATCCTCAGAAGACATTGACTATTTCTGCAATGGCCACTAGGGTGCAGTATGCACCCCCAAGCCGAGCAGGGAGCGTGGTACAGGCCAGAAAGCTCTCTTAGAGCTTTATAGTAGCATTTACAACCAGTATGCTTTTCTAATTGTCACATTTTTTTAAATATATTTTTTAAAATTTTATTTATTTATTTATTTATGTGTGTGTGTGTGTGTGTGTGTGTGTGTGTGGCCAGCTCAGCCCACCAGGGGGCGGGGCTGGCTGGCATGTGGTGCTGGGGATTGAACCGCGGTCCCTGTGCTTAGCTTGTTCTAAGTAGGCGCTTTAGACCACTGAGCCATCTCACCAGCCCTAATTGTCACATTTTAATTTCAAATTTTTTTTTCTCTCTGTCCTGTTGATATATATACAGGGT